TGGCTGGTAAATCCCCCCCCCCCTTCTTATTGCCTAAGAGAATTTCTCACTGGAGAAAGCTTAAAAGGTTTCACCACTTTTCCTATTCTAAGAATTGCCAGAAAGGCATTATCTTATGGATCATACTGATTGGCTCTAGCTGGACCACTGGAATCAGAAAAATGGATGCTTTCTCACCCATCCACTATTTGGCATCTGCACTAATTCTGCTTTCTCTGCTAGTTATTTTAATGCTCTATCTTCAAATTTTCTAGTAAAATCCTTCTGCTGCAGAGTGGTGATGCAGTCCACCTGCTGAAACTCGCCACACTTTCCCACTACCTGGGGTGCATTGCTCTTTATTAATATGTATCAGTGGCATTCTAAGCCAGTAGCACCTTTATTTCTTGCAAGAAGAATTGTAATACTTTCATTTGGGTTTTAATTGCTTTTTCTCAAGATTCAGAAAAATACCAATTACTGGAGGAATTTAGGGAAGACACCCTGCATGGAAATACTGCACTGTGTCAGGTAGTTCTTTAACTAGACACACCAGGTATCCACTCTCACATGAACACAAACGATGGAGGCATTTTGAGGAGCAAAACCAGGCTGGAGAAAATGGGATGTGTTGGATGGGTGTGGTGTGTTTAATTAGTGTTGAGGTTCCGTGGCATGTAATGGTAAAGTCGCAGATAGCAGTGACATAGAAGCTTGTTTCTTTCTCACATCGAAGGTGCCTGGAGGCTGGTCCTGCACGCTCCAAGCCCACGCTTTCCAGACTTCTGTCAGTCCTTCTTCCCATCCTCAAAGCCACCTCTGTGTCCAAGGTGCTTCCGGAGCTCCACTTAACAGTATCTGCACTCCTGGCAGTAGGAGACCATAAAAGAGAAGCTCTGTCTGCATCCCTGGAAGGAAATGTCTAGGCTGACCTGGCAACGTTTCCATGAGCCGGAATCATGGCTGTACCCAGCCACTGGGAAATGTAGGCTGACCCTGGGCCACTTTGCATCCAGCTAAACACCGTGGTTGTTTTACAGGTTGGGAGTGGATCGAGGAGAGCCAGTGGTCTAGGAAGCCTTCTTGTAGGAAGTGACAATCAATCTGGAATTTGAATGACAAGTAGAAGGTTTTAGGCAAGGGACACAGGAGATGGAAAATGCTTGAGGCCCTAGGTTTCAGTCCTGGGGAGGAGAGTGTGCAGAGCAGCAAAGACAACACAGTGAGGAAGGGAGGAAAGAAAGAAGGAAAGGAGAGAGGGAGGGAAGGAGAGAGAAGGAAGAGTCTGGGGTTTGGGCACTGACTAGGTAATACAGCTCTTTCCCCATCACTGTTAGAGCATTGCTCTCAATTTCTGAAAAGTTAAAAAATTAAAAAAAAATTATACTAGGAATTAATTTTGAAAGAGGAGCGTGGCATGCCTTAAATACTTCTGGAATACTTAGGGTACAGATGTAAAGGAATTTGCTCTTAAATATGCCGGAAGTAGTGCATGTTGCTTTTGGCCTCGATGCTTTAGTATGCAGCAAGCTTTTGACTGTTAGGCTTTCTGGTCTACCTGCAACATGGGAACTTGCCTTTGCTCATGCGCTGCCTGCCGGGGTGCCCTGGGGCGCTCTGTGCAGGAGACCAGCCTGCAGCGGGATGTGGGAAGGCGTGGACCCAGGTGGCTGCATACAGTGGGAGCCCACCAGGCCTATGCTCTCGGTCCACTCTCTGCGGACGTGTGACAAGAGCACAGATTCCTTTAATCATGCTTAAAAAAGAAAAAGAAAAAGAAAAAAACTCCCCCAAACTAAACAACTCTTTTAATCGTTTTTCTTTGTACGGCCATTAGGCACTTGGTAGGAATCTACACTGTAGTTTGAGCCAAGGCTCCGCAGCTGCATTTACGTTCACAAATCTGAGCTTGAGCTGTTCTGCGTGGAGCTGCTGAGCCTATTTTCAAGGTCCACTGTCCGGACTAGGTTCACAGTCGGCACAAATGCCTGTCTGCGCGCGCCCCCTAGCGGTCTGGCTCAGCCTAGCGATGGAAAGGTTCGGACACCGATATTTTCGTGGGCCGCTTTGCCCTGCAGGTGCTGGGCAGGCCGCTCGATGTCTTCTCCCTTTGTCCCTCCTTGCGGTCTCTTGCACACTGATTCGTGTGGAGGTTTGGTTAACATCTGTCGAGCTGTCCTCAGTAAGCGCGTGTCGATGAAGGATGAAAAGAATGAACAGTGTGATCTTAGAGGTCTTTCATACTCTTCACTCAAGGCGTCCGTACTCAGTAAAAACCGCAAAACCCCACTACTTACTGTCTTAAGAACTGCTTTTAAAATCAAGTATAACATATATATAAAAGCACACACAATTTAATGCATCTAGTGCATTTTCAGAGACCGATCACATCTGTGTAACTAATATATCCAGAAATAGAAATAGACTCGCACCCATGTCCCTTCAGGTCCCTGTCCTTCGTAGGGCCACCACTTGGACCTTGACCAGTGTCCATTCCTTCTGCCTGGTATTACATTTTGAAAAAATGGAATCCTATAGTATGTACTTTTTCCATCTTTTTTTTTCCTCCCAGTATTGTCTGTGAATTTCATCCTTGCTGTGTGTTTTGTTCATCCATGTGTTTCATTTTGAAAATCGATTCCAAGAGCCCCAAGCTACATTTGTATAAAAACTGCAAAAGGGCTGCTTAAATTATTCCGAGTGTTAATTAGCAGTGCCTCCTACACAGAGCCAAGCACACTCTCATGGATACCTGATGAGTCAAAGGAGGAAGTCTGAAGACGAGCTCAAGGCTTCTCAGGCAGTGACTCACAAGGACCCAGCACCTCTATTTTGTTCTAACCTGTTTGGCAGTATCCCCCCAGTCCACATGCTGGGCATTCCACACCAACACCATGCCTATCTCTGGGTCCTCTGAACATTTTCTTCTGTTTTATTCCTGCTTTTTCACTTCATGTTTCATCTCCACTGTGTGTGTGTGCCAGAGCCCTCACGCATGGGCTTCAACTCCGGTTTCCTGCCTGGATAGAGGGAGAAGGTTGGGCAGGGTTGGGGGTGACTGTGTGTGTTGAGATGTGAGGGAAGCAGGTGAAAACAGATACAAATGGTGGAAGAAGTAGAAACTGGGAAATTCTTTCACACTTCTTTTGTCTTAGCAAATGTGAAACACACAGAAACACTTGCCAGTGTAGTAAAGATGCACAGAAAGTTTAATAATGAGGTTCTCGGGTGAAGCGCTAAGGTTATACTGGAATCACAGTGATGCAAAGGAAGACTATGGTAACATGAGATGAAATCCATGTGCTTTTGTCTCTGCCTCCCCAGATGAGGGGGTAGAAATCGCCTTTGCCTTGGGCACGTGGTTGTGTTGAGGTAAATACAGCACCAAACCGACAGTCAGAAGAAGCAGGACTGAGTTTTCTCTAAGCCATTTACTGTTTTTGCGCCTCTGAGCAAATCATCCACCCTCTGGATTTCATCTATGAAGATGGGAATGTCAATATCTATCCTATAGAGCTGTGCAGAGGAGAAAAAAAGTAATTTTCCCTTTACTGAGTTCTTAGCTTAAAAAGTGAATTCTTAACCAAGAACTCCTGTAACAAAAGATAAATAAGAAAAAGGCTTGAAAATTTGATATAGTTTTATACAACTCAGGACACTTCCTAGGGAAATAAAAACCCATAGAAACAAACCCAGGTGTTTTTACTAGTAAGTCTGAAGAAGAATGGAAAGTCCTGGAGAAATATGATAGGGCAATAAAGGTCCGACCCGGTATGATAAACGGGAGAATCTTGGCAGCTCTGTTGGTTCAGATTCCCCTCTGTGACCTCCATTGTGGAGATGAGGGTGCTTCTTTCCTCTGGACACAGAGAGCATATTTCTCAGATGGGGATCTTAGGATCTGCTTTAAAGGGCAGGAAGTCCTTGCCAGGCTTTCTGACCTGCTTCAGAAGAGAGTAGATGAAATTGAAGGGTTGCCTTCTTGTTACTATCATTTTCTCAACACGTTTCTTTAGCTTAAAACATTCAGTCTGCCAACAGGCGATAGTCTGAGCTTGTGTGTCCTGAATCTCTTTCCTCTGGGTGGGGATTAAGTGACACTGCTTGAGGAAGCTCTCTGCACAGTGTGAACCTTTAACCTAACATGGAATCTTATTGTTATGGAATAATTCTATAGATACCCCGACCTTATTTAATAGGTCAAGAAGCGAGATGTAGATGTTGAAGCAACTAACAGGGGGAGCAGATTGATCAGGTCAGGAATTTAGAGAAATGTTTCCTGGAGGCCTTCCGGATCTGTCAGCTGCTTTGTTGGCCTGCGGGTTGAGTTTGGTCAAGGGGAAGGACCATCGCGGGATCTTATCGGTCAAAGAATGATTTGCCTTTATCCTTTGTTTCTGTGTGTCCATCGATTGGTTGAATCCTTCCTGTGAAGACCACAGTCTCATTAGAAAGCCTGTGTAGATGATGACTCTGAGTTGTGGCAATCACTTCTTTCCCGTGAGCCTTGAGCCTTGAGCTTGAGAGTTAGGCAGGAGTAACAGGACGTCCAACCCCGTCCTGGGGTGCTGCCCTTTCTCTTAGTGATTTCCTGACCTGGCTCCCTTGACTACAAATAGGCCCTTTATTGAAATATCCTCAGTTCTGCCACCTGTTTCTTTTTGAGTGCTGAGTGCTTCAAAATGATATGGGAAAAAAAGTTCCAGAAATGTGATTGTCTATTTCATCACACCCAAAAAGATAATTTAGCATTGGATCATGGAAGGCTATGGTATAAAATATTGTATACAAAAGTTTTCTTTGGAAAGCAATCACTAGGCATTCTAACAATGGCAAGAGCATGCATAAGAATAACTATGGTCCAGCACTCTCCATTCCAAGCAATGACATATTCACAGTGATCCTGTGGTACAAATATTATTGTTATCTCTGTTTAACAGGTGAGGAAACAGGTGCAATCTAAACAATTTAAGGTCATGCAGTAAGTGGAAGATTGAAACTCAGGTAGGCTAGTACCAAACCTCTTAACCTCCACATTATCTTCATGGTCTTTAAAATCCCCTTCCAAAGCTCTGAAGAATGCCAACCATTCCCATCTTCTGTGAACATTTCAGGAACATATTCTCCATTTGCTGCCCTCATGTCTCACCAACAAACTTGACATCATTTTCTGACTGCATTTCTGCAAAGAAACAATTTTGTTCACGTCAATAAAGATCTTCTCAGAGCACATTTTATTTAGCTTCTTTTCGATCTTCAATGTGTATTGCCACATTGGAGACATTTGACATTGATTAGCTTCTGCTGATAGAAGTGTCTGAGATGTAAAGCCTTGGATGCTTTTCAAATACATATGTGTGTGTGTGTATCTCAGTTTGCCCCTTCTTTATCCAAAATGTTGATATTTTTTTTTTCTTTTTTCCAGTACTGGGGATCAAACTCATGTCCGCCTGCTTGCAAGGCAGGTGCTTGTGCCACTGAGCTAAATCCCCAGCCCCAAAATGTTGATATTCTTGAGGTTTTTTTCCCCTAGCCCTTTTCTCTTCTCACTCTGCTGGTTCTCTTTGGGTTATCTCATCTACCACTATGGATCCAGTTGCTATTATGCAAAAATAATTAACAAGCAAGGAAAAGGGAATAAGTATGAGAATCAAATCACTCTACAAACAGTTTGTCCAAGGTCAGTGTCTGGTCCTGTCCATATCACACTTATTAAGGAATACTGGAGAAATCTGGCAAATTTAGTAGAAAGCTTTTGCCTCCAAATTGCCTATGGCATGTACTTCATGGGGGCAAGAAACAAACTGGTATCCTGTAAAGAACTGTGTCAAAGATTACCAGTGATCCAACTGGAGAAGTCATTAGCTAGAGTGTCTTGTGCAGCTGGAAATAGAAAGCTGTCCTCGAGCACAATCAGCATCTACCCGGAGTTCCTGTCTGCAGTGATTCCTTTTGCTAATACAAAGCCACCAGTGTCAGATTTTTCCGACTTACCTCTGTGATGGTAGTACTCCTTTGCTTAAACCTTCAGCAGAAAAGAAGTATGAGCAGTGTCTGAAGCTTTTCAAGGACTGACTTTAGCCTGTGTATGGCCTTATTTTCTCCAGATCCCTGCCTTATACTCTATGCTCCATGGACATTATGCTTGATGATCCTGGAGCATATCCAGATGATGTGTACATGCTCTTTTATTAGGACCTCCATGGCTTCCTGCATCCTTTTATCCACCATCCATCCATCTATTCATTCATTTATCCTCTATCCATCCTTTAAAACAGACACTGAACACTTGCTCTGGGTCTAGTCAGTGCTCAGTGTGGGGATATACCGTAACCCAAAACTATACAAGGCTCTTGTCTAATACAGCAACTGATCTAATGATAAGAGACAGTAATCAGAGTCACAGGTAAAGACATCAAATTTCACTTCTGATAAATTGTATGACCCTATGATGGTGCCATGAGGGCCTGCTATAGTTTGTATCTTGAATATCCACCCAAGACTTGTGAAGTTTGGTCACCAGCACATGGCATTACTGGGAAGCAGAACCTTTAGGGTGTGGGTCCAGTGGAAGGCAGTTAAGGTCATTTGGGGTCTGCCTTTGTAGAGGACATTGGGATCCTGGTTCTTCTTTGAACTCGTTTTTAAATCTTTCCAGCTACTAAGAGATTCTACTAAGAGATTCTACTAACAGCTGCTCTGTTCTACCACATGCTTCCTGCCATGTTGCACTGTCCCATCGCAGGCCTAAGGGCAATAATGGAGCCAAGTGACGGTGGACTGAAACCTCTAAAACCTTGTACCAAAATACAGCTTTCTTCTTTATAAATTATCTCAGGTATTTTGGCACAATAACGGAAAGCTGAGTAACAAAGGAGAGCTAGCCTAGTCAGATGAATAGAGAGCCAAAGAAAATTAATTAGGACTTCATTAAGGGTAGGGAAGGCATGTGCAAAGGCCTCAGGCAGAAGGCAGCGACAAGGTATGCTAACAGCAAAGAGTGCAAAGCAGAGGGAAAGGGTGGGAAGCAAGCGGGCGACACCTTTAAGAGGAGGGTAGATGTTTCCCTGGGGTTAGCAGGGCTATGAATGTTTGTGAGCTGGGCTGGGGTGGTACTAATACACCCAGCTTCACGTTTGAAAGATCTGGCTGCACGTGGATGATAGATTTAACGGACAAAGACCGGGAAGTGGAAAAGCAAGGAGGAGTCGACGGCAGAAGTCCCAGTGGGTGATGATAGGCTCGGACTCCTGCTTTGCATGCTGCCTTAGCGCTGTCTGGGCTACTTAACAGCTTCCTAAAAGTTACTGTCACTACCCCCACTCCAGTAGATTTCAGGTCCTGAGGACAGACAGGACTAGAAGCATGCACATAGGCTCAAGTCAAGGGGACTCTGGGATACCGCTAAACTTTAGACTCATTTATTGCTGGGGACCACAAATTCAGTGCCTGGTTTGTGTATTTCCCTGTGGGATAAAAGGAAGGATTGGGATTGTTGATGTCACTCATGTGGGATTTCCCATTGATTCTTCCAAGCATAAGATCATCTATGTCTTCTTAAATCATCACAGGATTATACTATGGGTCAAGATACTTCAAACATAGGATTATCTACACCCTCTGAGTTGGAGTCTTCGGATGAATTGCAATCCCTTGCTAGCCCCACCTGTCACTGTATAGACCAAATAAATAGTGGCTGTTTTGGAAGTGGAGGAAGTCGGATCCAGAGACACTGACTTCCCAGTCATTGTTGGAATATAATACTTGTCTCTGTTTATTTTTCTTGAGACATTCTTGAGACTGACAATTGGGACTCTTGGCTGGTTTCTCAATATTGACAATCAGGACTTGTGGCTGAGTACCTGATAATTTATATTGCTGTGACCTGACAGATTTTTTGTACTGCTCTGAACTGACAGACTTGTGTGCTGGCTGCTTGTTGGCTTCTGGCACCATCTTGACACATCTCCTCACCCCTAACACAGGCCTGAAAAATAGTTTTGTTCAGGCATGGCAAGAACCTCCAAAATCACATGCCAAAATAAAACTTTTTTTTATTGAAGATTATCTTAGGTATTTGTTATCGTGATTAAAAATTGACTAATACACCATAGTGGTTTCAAAACTGGGATCACATCAAGATTATGGTTGTAAGTTGTGCTGGTTAGTTCGTGTGTCAATTTGACAGGGTAGGGGATGCCCAGGTAACTGGTAAACCATTTATGAGTGTGTTGCAAGGGTGCTTTTGGAAAAAATTAGCATTTGAATTAGTAGGCTCAGTAAATAACATCATCCTTACTGCCATGAATAGGCATTAACAAATCTATTGAGGGTCAAATTAGAACAAGAAGGAGGAAGCATAAATGTGCTCTTTGGATAAGATGTCCATTTGTCTCTGCCAGCAGACATCAGTGGTCTTGGTTCTTGGGTATTTGGAATGGAAATAAGACTTACAGCATTGACATTCCCAGGCTGTGATGGCTCATATCTAGATGTCCCCCAAAGCCTTGATGCAGTCAGAGGCAGGTTTTTGCAGAAGTGGCTGGGTCTAGGGTGTATGATATAGAGATCAAGAATGTCGTGCTGGGATTGATTCACATGCTGGGATTAAGGGTGTGAGTGCGGTGGGTCACCTGCATAAGATATAAGGGAAGAAAGAGCTGCTTGTGGCTTGTGACTTGTAGCTTGCTGCCTTGCTGACTTCTGCTGCCATGAACTGTTTCACCTCTGCCATGCCAACCTGTGTTGGAGTCAGTCAACTATGAACTAAAGCCTCTACAAACTATAGCTAAATAAACCTTTCCTCCTTTAACTTTGGGTCTTGGGTATTTTGCCTCAGTAATGAGAAAAGTAACTGACATACACTTTTAGACTCACACTTCCCATAGAATTACACCACCAGTATTCCTCGTTATCCTGTTTGTGAACTTTATGAGACCTTGCAATCTCTATAATCATATGAACCAAATCTCATAATCTCCTCGATACAGGTATTGCTGATTTTATTTATCTGGAAAACTGTAACACATGAAGAGACTAGGCAGTGCAAAGAAATGGGGTAATGTGTAGACGACTTCAAGACTGGCCTGAAAGAAATCCTTGGCCATATTTTTTGGAGTTCATTTCTGTAATTTATTACAGGAATTCCATTCCATGATCTCTTTACTGTCACTAAAGAGAAGTTCTTGACCAATCCTAAGGTCTTCCATTGGTTTTTAAGAAAGCATTCTAAATTCCAAGGGGGAAGTCATACTCTTCATAAAGGCATAATTGATAGGCCACAAATGGTAACTCAAAAGGCACTCTCAGTGGCCATCACAGTCTGCACCTGTGTTTCCAGTGAATGATGCACTAGTTTGTTCACTGTGGCATCAAAGATGTTACCAGAGTTCTTGCACTTTATAGCTGGCACCACACAGATGGTAGGCACCCTTCTCAGAGCCCATTTATTTTCTTTTTCTTTTTTTTAAATTTTATTTTGAAAGTAGTAAAAATGCAACAGCACAAGACAGAACAAAGCCAATCAAGACAATGTGGTGAAATTGGTACATGATTTCATAGTAGGATACTGGGATAGTAGTAATAGGTACTATGGTATATCTTTTTAATTTCACAATAGTTGTCCAGTCAATTAGTTATAGCAAAATCAAACCAAAAATAGAACATTATAAAACCAATTGAGAATACTGAATAGGGAAAAAGAAACATAACACAACAAAACAGTGAAAACAACAGAAGATAGAAGGAAATTCCCCATATTTGCTATATTGCATATGGTCATCCTCCCAAGAGATGCCGAGACATCTATTCCCAGTAGCTATGGGGGGGGGCAGGGGAAGGGTGCTTGATTTTTCAGCCCATGTGGCAGCAGGCTTACAGGTAATGGTTCTCTTCCTAGCCCACACTATTGGTGCTTACTAAGAGGGAGGGTGAATAAGCTGCATGAGTCCCACCATGGCCAGATCTCAGGAGCGCTGGTTCTTCTCCTGGCCCTCGCTACAGGCGCTTACCAAGAGGGTGGGTGAATAAGCTGCCTGGGTCCCACCCATGGCCGATCTCAGAAGTTCTGATTTTCCTCCTGGCCACGCCACAGGTGCTTACCAAGAAGGTGGGTGAATAAGCTGCCTGAGGCCCACCATGGCCGGATCTCGGGAGTTCTCGAGCCCATTTATTTTCTAATAT